GCGCTGCCTGGCTGGCAGGAGCCCTCTGGGATACCGCCCCTTGGGCCCCCAGCCAGGGCAGGACGCCGGCGCGGGCCATAGGGTGGCATGAGGGCGGGCAGAAAGTTGGCAGACAGCCGCCAGGCTGTTGCTGGGGAGCGCGCCGGCGCAGCGCCACGGAACCGCCCCAGGAGGCACGCAGGCGCGACTCCTGCTATAGAGCTTTGGGGGGGCCGCTCCTGTCTGGGAGCACACAAGCGCAGCTCTGTTCAGGGAGCCTGGGGGTGCTGCTCCTGTCAGGGATCACAGGAAGGAGCTCTGGTGGGCAGCGCTCCTGTCGAGGAGCGCACAGGCGCAGCTCCTTTCAGGGAGCATTGGGCGCCGCCCCCTTCGGCGAACTTCTGTTCTGGGGGGCCGCTCCTGTCAGGGAGCTTTGAAGCGCCGCTCCTATCAGGGAGCTTTGAGGCGCCGCTCCCGTCAAGGAGTTTTCGGCCGCTGCTCCTGTCAGGGAACACGCGCAAGGGAGCTTTAGGGCGCCGCTCCTGTCGGGGAGAACGCAGGCGCAGCTCCTTTCAGGGAGCGCTAGGCGCCGCTGGCTCCTATCAGGGAGCACGCAGGCGCAGCTCCTTTCAGGGAGCTTCGGACGCGCCGCTCCTATCAGGGAGCCTGTCTTGTTTGTGCAGCCGCTGTCAGCGAGTTTTGTTTTGCCGCTGCTCGTATCAGCGAGCATTCTCGATCTGGCTTCAAGGAGCCAGCGCACGGGAGCAGCAACAGAAGAACTGCGAGACACGATCGGCCCAGCAGACGAGACCCGAGCAGCGCGGGCGAACCGCCATGCGAGACCGCACCAGAGTACACACGAACAGAGCAAGGTGAGCATACTTCCGCCGCTTCGCGCAGAAACCGCCGGCCGCCGACACCGCAGCCCGCTGCGCAGGCATTGAGCGCGCAGGAATTGAGGAGTGGAGGCAAACACGCGTGGGGCTGCTCCTCACGGTTTTCCTGCAGCATAAACGAGTTTATGAATCATGAGAACCATTGCGGTAGCCAGGCCCACTGTAGAATGGCCGGCGTCCTTGCGCCAGCATAGGGCGTGTGAACGGCGCTGCCTGGCTGGCAGGAGCCTTCTGGGATACCGCCCCTTGGGCTCCCAATGCACCAGAAGGCGACGGACTGCGCGGCAGCGCCTTACAGGGGTACATCGTGAGGACCGCTTCCTGTTCCTATTGGTTTTACAACCCCACGCACACGATGCCACAGTCAGGCTTGCTCGCCGTCACTTGAGTCGGAGCGGTCAACTAGCCATTCGGCCGCCGACAAAGCACCGCGACTTTGGGCGCTGACGTAACCGAAAGCCGCCACGCCCTTCCAACCACCACTAAAAAACAAAGCTGCGGGCCCTCCTTGTTGGAGCGCCTCGTCGGCAAAGCCTCGCCTGAAAGCGTGCGTGCCCCAGGCCGCAGCACTCCGCAACTGCAAAGCGGCTGCTGCAAGTTTGAGAACAGCAAGAGCGTCGGCATATTGCACGCTTGCGAAGGGGGCCGACACTGCTGCTCCTACAGAGAATAATTCGCAGACGCCACACAAGGAGCGCCCTTGCAGCTGACAAATACAACGTCTGGTTGTCTCACACGGTTCGTTGTAACATTTGCGATGCGCGAAACGAATGACACAGGTTTTGCGTTCATCGCCGCTGAAGCGGAATGTCACAACATTTGACCCGAGGAGCAGCAACTCTGAGTAACGCAAGCAAAATTGGCGAGCGATCACCCACGAGGCCGCCAACAGCGGATATCCAGCTTCAGCGCACCACTTGCGGATGAGTTTGGTTTCTTCCGCCGTCGCCCGGATCTTCACTCTCCTGAATACGTCTCGGGTAATTTTCTCGGCACCCCTGGCCAGCCTTTCTGTGTCGTCGAGAACACCGAGAGGGGCCTGCAATAGGTAGAGCACACTGCGAACATGAGAAGCATATTTTTGCAAACTGTTCCCATTACGGAATAACCCCACAAAGGCATTGAGAACAGATTCGGACGGTGGCCAGCTGGGCGCCGAAATGGCCCTGGCAGCTTCGCCCCACAAGCGGACGGCGGAAGCGCATTGTGGAGCACTTTTTCGCCAGGCAGCGAACTCGACCCACAGAGTGTGGAGATGGAGATGATCTCCGCCAGGAACATCGCGACGTGCACGTTTGACTTCTTCACGGGGCCTGCCAATTGGCTCCGCCCCTGGATAGCAATTGCAGCGGGCGGCGGCCGCCAGCGCGGCTGCTAGCACAGGAGGTTCGGGAACAACGCGAGCACGGCGCGATTCACCAAGCAAGATCAAGCCAGCGCGACCTTGCTCGTCGTTGGCTGCCTCACGTGGATCGCTTTGGCTCGCAACTCGGGTTTGTGCCTCTGCCCCAGCCCCTGAAGAGGACGAGGCAGCCTCGGTGAGCGTTGCCTGTCGGCACGCCGCGGCCGCTAACTCCCGGTCGGCCTGGCGCTGACACTGCGCCAAGAAGGCTTTGACGAGCGCAACGTTCTGTCCAGAAAACGCAGGGACGAGATCTACCAATTCATTTGCTTCCAAACCGCCCAAATCAGACAAATGCTGGAAGCCACCGTTCTCCAGAGCTTCGCAAAGACCAGAGATATCAACCATATTCACGCCAGCCACGCCCTGCAGCACGCGAGCGAAAACCGAGTTCACATCGCTCGGCTGCCCTGGCGGGGCACCTTCAGCACGCAGACGCTTGCTTCGGCTCTCGTTTACAAAACTAAGCATTGAGCCGATACTACGGAGAAGGCAAGACTGGCGCATGGCATTCTTCCTCCAATCAGAACCTGTGCACATGTTATTGTTTCACTTTTTTCTCAGCCGCCCCAGGGTGCATCCGGCGGAAACAGCCACTCAACGCGTTGAAAATTTCGCGCCTGCAGCTCGGCAATTTGCTCTGCCTTCTCAGACGGCCGTGTGGGGGCATCTGCGAGATTCAAATGCGAAGGCACATACCAAAGATGCAGGAAATGCGCCTTGTCAGCGACGAGAAGCCACAGATTGCCAATCAGACAATTCCAATCGGACTTCCGCGAGCAACCTCGCACAAGCGCACCCAATGCGCTTTTGTTATCGACGAAGCAGATGATCTCGAGATCTGCTTGGCCAATGCTTAAAATCCATTTCAATGCGCAGATCGCTGCCATCAGCTCCCAGGTGCCGATTTGGTTCTTTCGCCAGTGTGCCCATTGGCGAGCGCTGTCGGGCACCCTGGTGGCGGCCCAGACTTTGGCGAAAGGAGCGTGCAGCACCCACGCCATCATGCCAGTGCCGGTTGCGTCGCTGTACAAAATGCACCGCTGGCGCTCGCGGAGTTGCAGCGGTACACGCCGCGAGGGTGGCGATTGCAAAAACTTACGCCACCATGTGAGCGCGAGCCTCGTCCTCGCAGTGAGACGGCCGGTGCGGCCTGCGCCATGAAAGAACAAAGCTGCCAGCGGAGCACGCGCCCCCTTGCCAAAAACTGAGCTGGCACCCCAACTCAAACGCAAGGCCAGCTTCTGCGCTTCTGCCGGCGGCAACGCGCCCGCTTTGAGGGCCCTGACGATTTGGGAGCTCCACAACTCGAGCTTCTCCGGACCCACGTCAAAAACTATCTCTTGCCGGGCGTCATCAAAACGAACGCCGACGCCGAGAATGGTGGCCGATGGCTGTTCTGTGACAGCCTTGGCGGCATCCAAATCCCAGCCGAGAAAAACTGAAATTACGTACCTGGCCAGCTTGGCAGTGCCAGCAGGGCCCGTCAGAGGGTCTCCGCCAACATCTATTTGCTCTTCCATCGCGTCGCCCGAAAACAGATCGTCGACGAAGCGAAGGTACAGCACTAAGAAAATCTGCGCAAGCACGCCCTGAATTGCCAAACCGAACCGCTCCCAGGCGGACACGGAGGCGGAAGAGCCAAAGGGCATTGCCAGGAGCTGGAGACACTGGTCTTTAGCCAACGCCTCCTGCCACACGACAACTGCCAATGGAAGGTGAGAGCTGCATATTGGTAGTGTCTTGAAGGCTTGCACAAAATCATCTTTGCGCCAACGAATGCGCATTGTTCTTGATTTTGTGAGCTTCAACACCAGCGCTACAAGTGAGTCTAGCGTTTCGGGAAGCATCTTCTCGGATACTTGCGTGCCTTCATTGATACGCGACGCAGAAAAATCATCGATGCATCTAACTTTGGGAAACGTTTCCCAGCCTACGGTCTTCCAACCTTGCACGATTGGGAATCTCGGGGTTAAAACACAAGTTTCTATGTTCAACGGACGCATTCTAGCCTTGCCGTCCGCGACCTCCCGGTCGCATGCAGAAGCAAAAACTTCGCAGACAGATCTGCCCATCCCGAGTGGCAAAGACGATCGCCGCAAAATGCGTCTGTTCTGAACGCTCGCAGTGGCCAATAGAGCAGCTTTGGTTACCTCCGGCGCTGCGTTCCCTGTCGGAACGCGCATCCCACTCGCTGGGAGCAAGCCGACAAGAGGAAAACCGTGCATTAAATTGGTAATCAGCGTGGCGTCTGGCCAGCTGATGGACTCAAGCATCTCGCTAAGGAGAAAAAAATTGTTCCGGGGCCCTAACACACCTTGGCAGTGCGCTGGCAGCTGCGCGAACGCGCGTTGCCAGCAGGGCTCCGTCACTCGCTTCCTCTCCGACCAGTAAGCAAGCGCTGATTTACGAGCCGAGTGCAATTCTGCAGGGGTCAATCTTGTCACGCGGTCGCAGCCTTTTTCCAAAAAGTGCGGCAAAAGAGGAACTTCTGCGCAAACAGGCAAGGCCGACGCCCACTCCAAGTGATCCCATGGATCTAGGCGATGCAAATCATCGCGAGCGAGAAACCTATGTACACGCGCACCGACATGTGACAGCCCAGCTTTAGAATGCTTAAAAGCAGCGCTGGGACGAGCCGAAGAGCGCTCCATGGGCTCATCGTCCCCTGACTCGCTTTCCGACTGCTGACCGTCGGCACTGTCAGCGAGCGGCGTGACCGCTCACTTGCTCCAGGACTGCTTGTCCCACTGGCCCGACTGCTGCCATCCAGCGCGCGGGCTGCGCGACCGATGCTGCTGGCCGCCACCAGCGCTGCCCTTGTGCCGCGCGGGCGGCGAACGCACGCGCCGGTCGTCGCCCTTGGCGCTCTTGCCGCCCTTGCCGCCAGAGGATGCGCTGCTGGAGGCATGACTGCCCCCGTCGCCGTAGCTCTTGGAGGCGCCCTTGGGCTGGCCCTTGGACTGACCCTTGGGCGCGCCAGATGCACGAGCGAGCTCCGCGAAGCGCTTATCCACCTTGTCTTTGGCCGTGCGCAGGAGATCAACATCGATCCTTGTAAGGTACCTGCCCAAATCGGTTTCGTCCCTCTCCAGCGCTTTGGCCATGGCCCTCCGCTGGAGGACGTCGTATTGAAACGCCGTCCTGACCCCGCCGTTCTCCTCAGCGATGCGGATCATAATATGCACGTAGGAGAAAAAGTCCGCCATGCTGCACGCCTTCGTGAGGATCACCTTGAAACCCCACTCGTGGAGATGCCCCATGAAGGTCGCGAAGCTCACGTAATCGATCTTATCGATCCAAGCGCTTCCGCGCTTGGCGGCCGCACTCTGTCTCACGCGATCCTCGTAGGAGCCGTCGCCCACGACCGCGTCGACGAGAGGGGTGCGACTCCATGCTGGGCGGTGATGATCGCGGAGATCTTCGCCTTCTGCAGAGCCGATCCAAGCCCGGCCCTTGTCGTTGGCGATCTTGGCTCCGGCCTCGAACTTCGCCAAGATTTCCTCGGACGGGAGGGTGTCTTTATCGAAATTCTGCAAGCCCACTTCAACGATCCTGTCTTGAAGCTTGAAGCTGAGTCCCTTCGGCTTGCCCTTCTGGAGCGCCTGGGTCTGTAGTTCTGCAAGCTGTTTCACAGCTTCGGCCATTCCTGCCACGTCGCTCGACCCAGCGCCGGCTTCTGGAGCCGAGCGGGCGGGTGGTGCAGCTTGGGCGCACTTGGTCTGCACCTTGAGTGCGAAGACGACCTGCGCCGGCGAAACCTTCCAGGCTTTCCATGCTGGATCCTGCTCTGCGGCGTACGGCAAATCGTTCACAACAATCGCTGCCTTAATCATCTCGCGCATGTGTGGATCCTCGAAATCCGAGAGCGAGGTGCTGCCGATCGTTTCCGCCAACAGGCGAGCCACCGACACGTAGTAGAACAAGTCGTGTTTCTCCGCCGCGTTGGGCTCGACATTCAGCACGAAGTCGACCCAATCGCGGATCTGGTCAGCGTTGGCCTCGTTAAAGGCCCCGCTCGGCGCAGTGGCAATCATGGCAGAGGCGTCGCCGGAAGAGAAAGCCATGGTGGGCACGGCTGGATTGCAACTTACACCTGTGGAGCACGCTGCAGTGCGAAGAAGGATTTCAATCCCAGCAGGAGTGGTTCACTTGAGCCTAAAAAGCGACAGGTAATGACCAAACTCTCCAGCAATGGCCAATCCTTCCGACTGAATATCTTCATGTGAAAGCACTTGCCAGAAATGGCTGCGCGCCCGCGGCGCACGTCACGTGACCGGCGCTGGAGGCGAGTTGCTGTTTAAGGAAAGAGCAGAAGAACCCTTCCGCCCCCTATCCCCCTCTGCGACCTGAATGCGCCATCCAGGCCAGCAGAGGGCGTCATAGGGGCGCGGCAGTACAGACAACAGGGCAACCCCACCATCGAACTGAGCATCTCCGCTCAGTATTTGCATCTGCGGCTGCACCCACATCAATCCGCGGGCACGCGGCGTCTGCTCCGACCTCTCTGGATGTTTATTCATTCCAGTTCACGCCCACAGCTGCGCCCACACATTCGCTGTCGAGTCAACGAGAGAGGATGGAGGGTAACTGATTGATGGATGGTAGAGCGCCCGTTTTGGGCGATGCTGTCCTCCCGGACAGTTCGCGGGAAGGCTTACGCACGTTCCCCGCTACTTGCAGCCCTCGGCGGTGGACTGCAGCTCAGCAGAATGGCTGATTAGAGCCAGTCTTGAGAAATCAGCCGACCTGGACGGCCGACTTGCGAAATCCGACATGGATGAAATCCCGCCGGAATCTGCATCAATTTCTAGCCTCCTGGGCCAGATTTCCACGAGCCGCACCAGAATGGAATTCTGAGTACGCTAGTGAAAAGGCGTCAGCATGGACTTTAGACCACGTGCGCCATTGTACGCAGGGTCTCGGGGTCGGTCGGGGGCGGGCAAACACACCCGCCCCCGTTGTGCGCAGGCGGGGGGTTAGCCAATGCCCCCCCATCAAGGACTAGCTTCTGCCGCCTGCACACATCCGACCCCGAAAACCCCAATTGTGCGAAGCACAACATTCGCGAGGCGCAAATGGCACAAACTGCTATCCGCCTTCTACGCACTGACAGTTTCAGCGCTGAAATCTAGGCGCGGCCGGAATTCGCAGATTCTCGTTCCATGTGCAATTCACGGTGAGCGCACCGCTCCGCGGATCCACGCACAGACTGCGCATCTGAGGACGGCATCACAGATACCTGCGCGTCAGAATGCGAATCTGGACCCGCCAGGGCCAGAAAGCGCGCAGTTGCGCTCCGAATGCAAGTCAGGCTGGCAGACAGACGCCAGGCTGTTTCCAGAGCACGCAGGTGCTTTCAGGGAGCTTCGGAGGCGCCGCTCCTACCACGGGCCGCCGCGCAGGAGCGCTGAGTCGCGCTCACATTGCGAATCTGGGTGCGCCCTGGCATCAGAACGCAGAAACGAGCTCAGGATGCAATTCTGGGCGCGCGGGCGCCCAAGAGCGCCAAGTCGCGCTCAGATTGCGAAACAAGGTGCGCCTGGCACCAGAGCGCAGAAACGAGCACAGAATGAAATTCTGGGCACTCGGACGCCCGGCGCTCAGAAAGTTGGCAGAGAGCCGCCAGGCTGTTGAGAAAGTTGGCAGACAGCCGCCAGGCTGTTGCTGGGGAGCGCGCCGGCGCAGCGCCACGGAACCGCCCCAGGAGGCACGCAGGCGCGACTCCTGCTATAGAGCTTTGGGGGGGCCGCTCCTGTCTGGGAGCACACAAGCGCAGCTCTGTTCAGGGAGCCTGGGGGTGCTGCTCCTGTCAGGGAGCACAGGAAGGAGCTCCGGTGGGCAGCGCTGCTGTCGAGGAGCGCACAGGCGCAGCTCCTTTCAGGGAGCATTGGGCGCCGCCCCCTTCGGCGAACTTCTGTTCTGGGGGGCCGCTCCTGTCAGGGAGCTTTGAAGCGCCGCTCCTATCAGGGAGCTTTGAAGCGCCGCTCCCGTCAAGGAGTTTTCGGCCGCTGCTCCTGTCAGGGAACACGCGCAAGGGAGCTTTAGGGCGCCGCTCCTGTCGGGGAGAACGCAGGCGCAGCTCCTTTCAGGGAGCGCTAGGCGCCGCTGGCTCCTATCAGGGAGCACGCAGGCGCAGCTCCTTTCAGGGAGCTTCGGACGCGCCGCTCCTATCAGGGAGCCTGTCTTGTTTGCGCAGCCGCTGTCAGCAGGTTTTGTTTTGCCGCTGCTCGTATCAGCGAGCATTCTCGATCTGGCTTCAAGGAGCCAGCGCACGGGAGAAGCAACAGAAGAACTGCGAGACACGATCGGCCCAGCAGACGAGACCCGAGCAGCGCGGGCGAACCGCCATGCGAGACCGCACCAGAGTACACACGAACAGAGCAAGGTGAGCATACTTCCGCCGCTTCGCGCAGAAACCGCCGGCGGCCGACACCGCAGCCCGCTGCGCAGGGATTGAGCGCGCAGGAATTGAGGAGTGGAGGCAAACACACGTGGGGCTGCTCCTCACGGTTTTCCTGTAGCATAAACGAGTTTATGAATCATGAAAATCCGTGCCACAGCTGAGGAGACCAGACGCATCCGTAAGTGGTGTCGGGAGCCGGATATCCGACACTAGCGGCCTCGTGGGCGATTGCCCGCCATTTTTGCTTGAGATATTCTGAAGTACTAAATCTGGGGACCCACGCGGTCGCATTTCGTTTTACCGGCGAGGGCCGTAAAACGTGCATCATCCGTTTTGCTCACCGGAAGTCGTACAATGAACCCTGCGAGACGACGAGGCGTTGCATCTGCCACCAGCAGGGTCGGCTCCTGTGCGGTGCTTGCACACTGTTCTCCTTAGGAGAAACAAGCTCCTTTTTCAGGAATCCAATACGCCGACGCTCTCGCTGTGCTAAAGCTGGCAGCGAACGCCCTGCATCTGCGTAACGCGCCTGCTTGGGGCACGCATGCGTTCAGGAGAGGGTTCGCGAACGAAGCCCTCCAACAAGGAGGGCCGACAGCATTGTTCTTTAGCGGTGGATGGAAAGGCGTGGCTGCTTTCGGCTATGCTAGCGCCCAGAGCCGAGGGGCTCTCACGGCCGCTGAATGGCTAGTAGAACATTCTGACTCCAGCGACGGCGAGCAGGACTGAGTTCGCATCGTTTGGGGCAAGGGAAAACACATCACGATGTCCTCTCCTCAGGCGCTGCTGCGCGGTCCGCCGCCTCCTGGCGCATTGGGAACCTCAGGACAGGGCCCAGGAGGCTCCGGCCAGGCAGCGCTTTCCTTTTGCCCCTTGCTGGCGCGAAGGCGCCGGCGCCGAGCCGTGACGGGGCCCCGGGGCCCGAGAACGTGTTCCGAGGTGCTTCGGGGCACCGCAGAGGCGAGGGCCTGCTTTCCCTTGGGCCAGGCTGCCAAAAATGATTTTCATGAAGCGTAAACTCGTTTCCGGCACAGGAAAATCATGTGGAGCAGGCCCAAGCGTGCTCGCCTCACCTCCTCTGCTCCCGCTCACACGCCTCTGCGCCTGCTTCGCGGGCAAGCGGTTCCTGGCGGGCCGGCTTGCGTTTTCGGAGGCGGAAGTATTCTCGGTGCTAGTCTCTTGGGTCAGCCGTTCTGGTCGCCCCACAGGAGACGCTCTCGGTCTCTGCGGGGAGCAGGGCCAAGCCAGGCCAAAGCACGAGCGGCGGCCTGGTGCGCTGTGGCACTGCCCGCTCCCTCGCAGGCACGTGCCTGAGAGCTTGTCGGCAGGGGCCGCCTTCTCAGGCTCTCTGGTGACCGAACGCTCTCCGCGTGGGACGGCGCCCGCAGGGCGGGCAGCAGCCGCCTGGCGGCGGTTTTGCCCACCCACATACCACCCTCGCGGCTTTCGCCGGCGCCGCGTCCTGGCAGGGAACCTCAGGACAGGGTCCAGGAGGCTCCGGCCAGGCAGCGCTTTCCTTTTGCCCCTTGCTGGCGCGAAGGCGCCGGCGCCGAGCCGTGACGGGGCCCCGGGGCCCGAGAACGTGTTCCGAGGTGCTTCGGGGCACCGCAGAGGCGAGGGCCTGCTTTCCCTTGGGCCAGGCTGCCAAAAATGATTTTCTGCGTTCTGGTGGCCAGGCGCACCAAGATTCGCAGTCTGAGGGCGTCCGCGTGCCCAGAATTGCATTCTGAGCCTTTCGGCGGCCTGGTACCCAGGCGCACCGGGGTTCGCAATCTGAGCGTGACTTAGTGTTGTTGGGCGTCCGCGCGCCCAGAATTGCATTCTGAGCTCCTTTCTACGTTCTAGTGACCAGGCGCACCAATATTCGCAGTCTGAAGGCTTCTGGGCATCCGCGCGCCCAGAATTGCATGCTGAGCTCCTCTCTGCGTTCTGGTGCCCAGGCGCACCCAGGCTCGCAATCTGAGCGTGACTTAGCGCTCCTGGGTGTTCGCGCGCCCAAAAATTGCATCCTGAGCGCCTTTCTGGGTTTTGATTCCAGGAGCACCCACGTTCGCAATCTGAGCGCTTGTGGCGTCCGCACGCCCAGAATTGCACTCTGCGTCCTTAGCCCTCAAATCGCGCAGCGGTTTGGAGGGCAGGAAAATTTCAGGAGCTAGCGGTGCCACACTCCTCCTAGCCTGATGGCCTTGAGCTCCCAGCAGAACGCACGAAGCTTGGATACCTCCAACTGGTGGTGGCGGACTTCACCCGCCCTGGTGGGTCAGCTTACGGGCCGTGTCCTGTGGACGGCGGGTGTGGGTCAGTCTGTCCGTCCGTCCCGTCTGTGTGTCTGTCGGTCTGTCGTCTGTCTGTCGGTCTGTTTGTCCGTCGTCTCCCTGGGGCGTCCTCGTCCTGCCCGTGGGTGTCTGCTGGCACCGCGGGGTGGGCCTCGTGGCGCGTTCGCACTCCCTGGGGGCCTCTGGCACCAGGGGCGGTCTCGGCGGCAAGCGCAGTGCGTGCCGTGGGAGCCTCAGGCACCACGCGTTCGCATTCCCTGGGGGCCTCAGGCACCAGGGGCGGTCTCGGCGGCAAGCGCAGTGCGTGCCGTGGGAGCCTCAGGCACCACGCGTTCGCACTCTCTGGGGGCCTCAGGCACCAGGGGCGCCCGCATCCTGCACAGTC